ACCGAGCACACAGCAACATCAGGTCTGGGAGGTCATGAGGAAGTGGAAACATAGGGCCTGTTTAAGGTTGAGAAAATTAAAGGTCCTAATAAATGAACAAGTAATTACAACCCAAGATGCCTGGACTTTTTATGTTTTTGGTAGCCATGGAATATGAATGATTACAAAGTCACTGTCCTGAATACTCCTGACTTTTTTCACCTGTGCTGTCAATGGGCTATGTTTCTTGCATCTTGTTTTAGGTGGGATAAACAAGAAGTTTCCTTGTCTCTCATGAAAAGTGCAGATATAAGCATATCTCTGCTTCATAGACTCCTCAGAGACCGTCACATACTCCAATCCCTTGGAGGGACCCTTATTTGCCTAGTCTGAGGTTGCACCCACATTCCAAATAGAAGAACAGAGGAAGGGATGAACAAGAAGGAGCAAAAGACAGCAGCTGTTGCTTCAGATTGGTTTCTAGAATCTGAAAAGGTCTTATCTATAATTTGGGTGTTGAGGTTAATGACTTTCATTAACATTTCTGACTTCACTTCCTGAACAACACCAGACAGGGGGACAACACCAGCAATTAAGCAAGACAGTTTGTTAAGAGAATGAATCAAATAGAAGTAAAAGGGGAGAGGTGGTGAGAGCACAGTATGGAGAGACCACGTGGATTGTGGTGTGGTACTATAGGTGCTTGGGTTGTGGGTGTCTTTGGGTGCCTGCACCTGAAGGAGGGAATCCTGGACTTCCACATCACTAATTAGAATGTAAACCAATGATATTTCAACTAGAAACAAAGAGAGGAAAAGAGAAGTAGGATCATGAAACAACAGCTACAGTAAAAATTGGCAGAACTTGCAGATATTTTGAGGTCTTTGGACTTCTCTGTTTGTGGGATAGTGAGTTCAAAACAATTTCTTGGAGATCCTAAGCAGACACTAAAATTGTATTTATTCCGAGATCAGCCCCATAGACAAGGGATTCTAAAAATCATTGGTGGTAACACAATGCTAGATTTCCACCCATAGAGTCACTTTCTGGGTCCAGAAAATAGTTATGTTGTCTCTAGAAGGCCACCATCTAATGTCATTTGGAGAGAATGACATGTAACGAAGTGTTCAGATTTCTGGCCTGCAAGACTGTCAAAATTACATCACCTTAGAAATGAGAGAGCTGGGAAGGAAAGGAAAACTGGTTCTGAGGTCAGGGAATGATTTATTTTGTGCATATTGAGTTTGTTCATGTAACTAGAAAGCACAACAGGATGTCATTTTACAACCACTGCATTAGTAGAAATGAGCAATTGAGGAATTGAAGGTATTGCTGAAAAAAGGAAGGGGTTTAGCTCCTACACCGCACACAACAGTAAGATGTCACAGAAAATATTTTATGCATGCAGTGAAGTAACCATGAGTGCTCTCTCATAATTCTGAGCCATCTCTCTCTCTCTCTCTCTCTCTCACACACACACACACACAACTAAGATATGGTGTTTGTGGTCGAGCCAAATAAAAGCTGCATTTGTGTTACCCACAGAGAGGGGTTTAGAAGTAGTAATGGTTTCAGTGAAAAGGCCGAATTCTCGTCAACATTTGAGAACTCTAAGCCCCATTCTTGTAAATTCTGATTTTATAAACAATGAATGTTATTATCTAGATATAAAAATTGTCTTCATAGCAGTAAAGAAGACTTTTAGGCAACAAATGATTAGTTCTATTGAAGTGGTACAGTTGAAAGAAAAAGAATTTCATACATTGTGCATGATTGTATCTTCTCAAAGCATCCAGCAGTGCTTTGCCCCCAGGAAGCAGTCAATAAATGGTTATTGAATTTAGAATGTCCTTCTTCCCAATCAGTGAGGTTTAATATATTTCCAATTCAGAATACCTATTAATTTTTGAGCATTAGCAAGCCTTTTAAAAAATCCATTTGGGAATGTGTTTGAAAGTTCACGGCAAATACTATAATATATATGGTTAAGAGAATACTGTTAAACAAAGCATGCTTATTCAACACACCAGTAGTCATTGATAAAATGTAATTTAATCATTTAAATTTACATTGTTAATGTACAAGAGCATTTCTTTCAAACCACAGGTTAACACACACTAAAGAGCAATGCTGTTAGAGGAGCAGAGAAACTTTGCAAAACTCTGCTGTCTGAAATAAAAGCAAGGCACTCTCCATTAACAGCTGGTGGATTCCTGATTTTTGCCCACAGAAGCATGTTCAGACTGAGAGAGCTCTCCCACTAGGGAAGAATCACCTGCTTTATTTTTGCTGTCCTCTTCTGAGCTAGTTTGGTCATCTACTCTATGTATTTGTGTGTTTGTGTGTTAACATTAAAACCAGGAAAAAAAAAAAGAATTGGTTGATGACTTGGGAGGCTCTCATAGTTGCAATAACTATGGAAGACAGAAGAATACTGGCTATAATCTTTATTTTCAGCACTAGTGTCTGGCTCTATAACTAAAACCTTTCCTCATTCCTTCCTACCAATTGCCATTCACAGCAAAAATGTCTTTTCCTTAAATCTGATGGATGTAAAAAGAAAAAGGAACAGCATTTTTCTAGAGCTCTGGTTTTTGTTTTGTTTTGTTTTCTTTACAGACATGACAAAAAACAAGGAATAAGTTTCCAATACTAACAGTGCACAAATGGGTTATGTATGCACAGTATGTCTAATTTATTCAAATTCAATTTGAATTTGGTCTGAAGCTACTTTGTATGAAATGTTAGCTTTCCTGATATTTAATGTTTATTATGTTTGCATATAAGCTCAAAAATTAATGCAAAAGTACTGCTTTGCCCATAGTTATCACCAGGTAAGATGTAAATATTAGTGGTCATGTTTAAAAGCCTGTTTTTTGATAGCTGCAATAAATGTCTGAAGGCCACAGAAAGGGAAATTAGGTTCTAATGTTAATTCCAGTACTAGCTGTTAGACCTTGGGTGATTCTTCCCCTTTCAATTTTATCCTCTATGAATTTTAAGGGGTGAGATTAGTGGACAAATCAGGCCCCTTCCAAGTCTAACACTTTAAGATACTAATATTCCAGATCCTACATCTTGCTATAAAAATAATAATCTTTCATAAAAGCTCATACAAACATAATAAGAATCAAATATCAGAATGACTCTTGGGAAAAAAGAAACATATATGATTAGCTATCTGGGTTATCCTTTGCAGCAATTAGGCAATTCATTTGGCATTTGTTTGATTGTATAATTTAATGACAATATAAACAGCATAGTTTTGTTATTTTTTTCTTTAAAAAGACTAAAGCAAAAATGATTTAAAGCTAACAAAAACTACTGTAACATCAGTTTGACATTCAAAGTTGTTTCTTAGCAAAATGGCCAAAGATATTTTGACTGATACAGAGTATATAATATAAAGACATTTAGGCCTAAAAACCTTCAAACATTTCGAATTTAGCAAAACATAAGCAAAATTTTAATATCAAAGTGCTAAACAGTACTGCCTTAAAAGTCACTGCAAATGAACCATAAAATAACTGCATGGAAATAACATTTATTGTACAAATGGTTAATAAAAAGACACATTATAAATATATATGTAACCTGCTATATTTATATATATATTTGCTTATTTAATTTCTAATTGGTGTATCCAAGTCACTGCGAACACCCCATTGAAGTACTCTGTAACTCAGCTTCCAGGAGCTGGTGGTCTTGCAATAAATACAGGCAAAGCTATTACAATATAACGTGCATACAAAGGTTTATACAAATAAGGACACTATGCAACAAATTATCTCATAATAATGTGGCATTAACAGTATAAACATACAAAAGGGAGTACAGAACACGGAATGTTGAAACGTAGCCCGCTAATCCTTTCTAGTACTCACATTCATACTATTTTTTTTTTAGACTAAGACTTGCTTGCTCTCCAGAATTCTCTTTAATCAATAACAAAATTAAATTATATGTTCTTAATAAAACCGCCTTTTTCCCGGTGCATACCCTGTATGATCCAGTTCCTACTTATTTGCATGTTCTCTTCTAGGGATCAAACATTTAAGATTCACTGGCTGCTCCCTCTGAATGAATGTCAATCAGTTACTGTAACTGAGGCAAGTTTGGGAACTCTGGCTGGGCTGATAGATTACAACCAATCCATTTGTGTGCAGTCGGCCATCTAATTCCAGGCCCCTCCAGGACAGCTGGACATCTGGGTGGGGATCTGGATCTACTGAGAATGGGCCTAAAATGTGAAATGGACCATACATACCTCAGAAGGGCTCTACAGGGTAGGTGGCCTCTGCTAGGAAAATTAACATGTGTCATTTGCTGGCAGAACTGCCTCCTTTTTTATTTCCGTATAAAATAAAGGAGAGTTAATAAACAAGACTTAGTAAGACAGCACTTTAAAAATTGCACTTGTATATGGAAGCGAACAGCCATTATCATTTTGCTAGTTTTGATTTATAGATAATCCTCTATCTTCCACCATTTGTTAAAATAAAATAAAGGAAGAAAGAAATTAAGAAAAGGGAATTTCTGCCTTGTTTGCACCACATCTGTACCCTTGATGAGGGAAATGATTTCTAAAGGGCTCAATTCAAGACACCTCTGACCCTGGTGAACCACGTGGCTGTTGTTTTTAAACACAAAGCAACTGTAATTGTTTTCCCCAGAAAGAGTTTGAAAACAGTCATATCATCCTTTATTTTTTCCTGCTGGGATAGCATCGTCCAAAAGTGCTTTGTTAGCAATTTCTTAGAAAACGCTCATGAACTATACCCCAACTCCCACCCCAACCCAAAGCCTAAATATAAAACACAACCCCAACACAATTCTCTGCAAGTTTTCTGGCTTTAGGTTGTAAGGAAAAGTGCCAGAAAAAAAAAAAAAGTCTTTCTTTTCTACAGGAGCTGATTTTCCTCTTAAAGACAAAACAATGGTCGCTGTCCAGACCCATCCCTTTGCTGCTTAGCAAGCAGGTGCTAGCAGATGAGGCAGCTCCCTGCTCAGGCTGCTCCTGCTCAGAAAGGCAGGGTGTCCAGGAAGAGCTTGTCGATGATGGAAGGTGGAGACACCAGGTCTTCCAGCTTCAGGTAGAAGATGCGCTGGAGGCCCAGGGTGCAGATCTTCCGCAGTTCGACCAGGGCACCCCGGACCTTGGGCTCGGTGGGTTCCAAAGCCTGTCCCTTACTCTGGTGGTCTTTTAAGCTGCTTGTGATTTTGTTGCATAGCTCCTCCACTCTCTTTGGTTCTTTTAACCCATGTCGTTCTACAGAGAGACAGAAAAGGGCAAGTTGAGGTGGCAGTTACATCCAGGAACTCATCATCTCTACTCAAGGCCTGTATCCCATTCTGCCAGCTGAGATAGCATTTTATAATGTGCTCCCTCTTCGAGGTTGCTCATGGCTTTTGGTATCAACTCTGCACCAGGGTGTGAATTCCCCTCCCGTCACTACTTGCTGTGTACCCTTGAGTGAGTCTTTTAACTTCTCAGCTATGGTTTTTTTGTAAGATGGAGATATTTGTACACCCACTTCAGGATTTCTGGAAGGAGAAACTTAGCTAGATGACACACATGAAGCAGACAGTTCCTGACAAAGTCACGTCCAATACATGACAGGCTGGCTGTTATATGTATTTCTCTACTGGGGTCCACATGCCCTGTCAAGAGGCACCTCTCTTTCAGAACTCTTTCACATCCAGACAAATGAACCAATGTTCCTGTCTTGACAGACTCACTTGGGTTGTGTGTGTGTGAGGTGTTCTGTAAGTTCCATTAGCTCGTGGATAGACTGACCTATTAAATGCAAAATAAACCGCATTCTGTGTTTTCATGCTAACTAGCAAAGAGGAGAATCCAATTTTCTTTCCTTTAACTGTCTAAACACCTATTGCCCTAAACCTGGTGCTCTAGACGAGATGCACATGTCTTCCTGCTGTGGAGATGGAGAAGTCAGAGAAAGGAGGCAGCTGGCAGGATGCAGGGCAGGTGTTCTATAATGCAGCAGGTCTTGAACACTGTGTCTTATATTTATTTTTTAAAACTCTCTGTATAGTTCCCATTGATAAATGTTATGATCTCTTATTTCATGAGTAAGATTAAATGATTTTTCTAAAGTCTCCCAGTAGATAAAAGCGGGGATTTAAGCCCAGTTTTTTGAGGTACATTTTGTCCTTTGCTCCAGGGTCAAACTGTATCTCATTAAAGTGAGAAAGGAACCTGGTCTCCTTCCCTCAGCAGTTAGGTATCAGCACCTTTTCCAGAGGGAAGAGTTTGGCCCCCGTTATCTCAGTCAAAATTTTCATCTCTTAACTTAATTAACTAACTACATGTATAGCAATTCATGAGACATGAAAGATACTGTTCCAATAGGAAACCAAGTATTAGTTTCTAATTTTTTCTACCTTACTATATTTATTTGGAGATTGTTTTTGTTAGAAGAGTTATTTCCTTAAAGTAAAAGTCAATCAGAAAAACAAAGCAACTATTCAGACATTTTTTTCCCGTTCTCTTGCCCAGGAACCGGAGATCTGCATTCTTCCTCAGCTTGGCTACTTTTGTAGGACTTGGATGAGTTCTGCCCTCTCTAGGGTAGAAGGTGTTTAGATTCAATGACCTCTAAGGTCCCTTTCAGCTCTGATGTATTATAATTGAAGCACACGCATGATAACTGCCAGCAGAGTCTCAGTGGATTGTAACTTGCAAGCGTCTCATCTCCATGGAACATAATGTAGAGAAAAGGGCACTGGGCTTGGAGTCCAGTGCATGCAGGTTCCAACTGGGGGTTTGTCACTGACTAGCCCTATGCCTTAATCTCTCTAAGGTTCACTGTCCTTCTGGGGAAATGGGGTCACTGGGTGGTATAGGCATAAATCTTATTCTTTTCGGCATGCTTTAAATGTTACATACCAAATTAAAAGAGAGGGTACAATAGTAATAAAATACTCTTCTGTGGGTCACTATGAAGTTCAACTGAGAAGAGGCTATGTGAAATGTCCCATCAGCAGAGGCCACACATGTGGTGCTGTCAGTGGCCTAAGACAATGCCTTACACCTGGCAAATGGTTGGCAGCTGCAGGATCAAACAAAAGACAATAAAGTCATCTGCATCCCAAGCTTCTCAGAACATGGTTTTGCTTACCTCAGGAAACTTCTAGTTAGTTATTCCAAATGTAAACCTATCTTCTGTGGTTTATTATCACTGACTGTACCCCGTGTTTCAGTCTCAGAAGAAACACCAAGACTGAACTTCAAAAGCAGTCTCACCTACAGTGGTGCTCTGCCTAAAGTTTTATCCACCCCCCCCAACAAAAAGAAAAACTGAACTATTATACAAATCTGGCAGTAATTTTCAAGAGCTATAAAATGTGCATAGCCTCTGACCAAGTAATCCCACTCTTGGGAATTTATCTGAAGGAAAATTCAACAGAATAAAAACTGTAGGCATGGAAACATTTGGGGGAAGCATCATCTATTTTAAAAACTGGAAAAAGATAAAGGGTGGAAGAATAGGGTGAAAAGAGGTATGTCCACATAATAAAAGAGTCTGTGAACATCAAAAAGGACAAATAGGAAGAATATGAAGCAACCTGGGGAAACACATCTCACACTAATTAAAGAGTAGAACATACAAATGGTATATAAACTGTGATTATTTTTATGCAGAAATTAATTCTGCAAATAGAGAAGGATGAAAGGAAATAGAAAAGTGAAAATATTTATGAGATTGTTAGATAACTCTCTTCCTTTCTTTTAGGCTTTCAGGGTAAGTGCCACTGTGTAATAAACAATGTTAAAAGAGAACAAACTGAGCTTTAGTCTTTATGAAGCCTTCTAGTAGTTATAACATGACCAAGCAGTCATCTTGCTGATAGTGAGTTCTACTAATACTGAGATATATCAAATTGGGTTCATAACCTGGAGAGAGAAGCTTTTCTCAGAATAAAATGCCAATCCATTTATTTAAGCGCTTTCCCTTCCCCTCAGTGTCTCATGTCCTGCATTATATACAAGATCCCATATTCATTATCAGGATAAAGAAACTGAGCAATGTGTTGGCTGGATTTCGGGAGGGGGTTGATTATGGAGCTTTGTAACAGACTTTCTCATGGCCAAACTCAGAGTTTTCCCTGATCTCCAACCAGTTGTGACTGCTCAATAACTATGGCAACCATTATTTATTCAGTGAATTCAAGTGGAGATCGATACCTCCTGCCAGCTGGATCAACCCTAGGCCTGGAATTCCTTGAGGAATTCAGAGACACTCCTGTTAGAAGCCAAAGGCACCTTCTTTGTTGTTTCAAACAGCTACTGGATTTGTGGCTTCTTTACTTTTTCAAAAGGGCTGAGATAAAATTCAGTCTCCATGCAAACTACTGTCAGCAGCCAGCAAGATTTTCAAATCGCTAGGGAGTCACTAAGTGTCTGGGACTGTCCTAGCAATCTGAAATTCCTTAAAGCCCGAATCACTGACATTTTAGTTTTAAGGGACCCCATTTTCCTTGTAGCTTTGGTAAACATGACTGAGAGCTGGTTTACAGAGAGTTTGCGAATTTGGAGGGAAATCAGACATTTGGATTTTCCCCTGCCTAGAAAATTATACAAAGGAGAGTTTAGGTAAAGATTTTTGTCCCATATTAGACAAAACAAGCTTCTCTATATTTCTTGCATTTTGATAATTTCTTATCCAATATATGAGTACTTCATCTTAGGTAGTATACATTTGAAACTTTAAAATATAACATAGAAATGGTTAATGGATTTATGTGTCATAATCATAGTATATTTGAATTGGAAAGGATTTGAGTCATTTTATTCAAACTCCAACCTAAAGCAAAAATCCCTACCACAAGACACGACAAATAAGAGTGTGTCTGGCACCAGCTGACTTGGAGTCCACCATTTCACCCTGATGATAAAACATTTATAGGAATTTATATTAAATTCCTTTACTTAAAAGTATTTTATTGCACTCTCAACAACTTTTAGAGTTAGGTAAGAACAAAGATAATCTTTATTTAATAGATAAGAAATCTAACATGACTTGTACCTAGTCAAAATCAGCAAGTGGCTAGTTTCTTTCTCCTCAAATCCAGAAATAATTCCATTATACCAGACTGCTTTTGAACATTGTTAGATTGTTCTTCCTCATGCTGAGATGAATTCAGCCTCCCCGTAACTCTCTCCTACTACTTCTATGTACCTAATTAATTGATTAATTACTTCTTTCAACAAATATTTATTGAGTACCTATTCTGTGTCATACAATAGTATGGCCACTGAGTTAGAGCAGAGAACAAACCAGAGAGACAACAGATCACATTCCTAAACTGTGTGTGGTGTTAGTATTTAAAGGCTCTGTTGGATTCCTGTGACTCTTACTGTCTGTGCCATAGACATCTTTGCTGAGAAAAAGGAAGGCAAGGAGGGGAGATGGGGGAAGGGAGAGGGAGGTGAGTAGGAGGGGTAAGAAAGAGCAGGGAAGAGGCAGAAAAGGGAAGAGGAAAGCAAGAAGAGGAAGGGAAGGAGGGGTAGGGGAGGAAGTAGGGGGAGAGAGAGATCTAATGAAACAGATCTAGATTAGAAGTCTAATGAAATAATCTAGCTATTTAGGTCTGTGCTCATATTCTTTCCTCTTCATCTAGCTAAGGTCTACTCATCCTTTACATTGCAGATCAAATTTTTCTTTGAGGAAACTTCCATTTTAACCTCCAGTCTAGACATATTCTCCTGATATTCTAATTTTTCCTTTGGTTTTAAATCAGGTACTTATCTAAGTATTGCCAGCCTCACCCCTTAAAATATAAGTTCCATGGGGGGCATGGACTGTATTTATTCACCATGGTATCTTTAGCACCAAGCCTAGTGTAAAAGACACCCAATAAATATCTGTTAAATGAATAGGTAAATGGAGGATCAAGCACCTGTATGATACAATTAAATGAATACTTAATGTGCATGTTGCTCAGAAAAAAATTCCGTCATTAAGAGGCTAATAGTAAAGAGCTTTACAAACTAAAAGCTACTACATATCAGAAGCTTTGGAACAGCTTTCCTGGCTACAAAACTCACCACTTGGCTGGGTGACTGCATCTGTTTTCACATTTGTACAACAGATCTAATTACGGTGCATTCTCATAGACTGTTATGAGAAATAAGTTAAGACATGTAAAGTATTTGAAACAATATCTTAGGATATAGTGAATACTCAGTAAATTTGAGTAAGTTGTCAATGTCTAAAATTCATTTCCACTCACTCAACTTATTCA